AAAATACTGTTAAATTTATATGAACACAAGAGGCCACGAATAGCCAAGGCAATACTAGTCAAAAGAACAATGCAGAGAGGTATCACAATACCTGACTTAAACTATATTACAAAGCAATAAATAAAACAGCATGGTACTGGCACAAAAACAGACATGAAGACAGTGGAACAGAAGAGAGGATCCAGATATGGAAGCCACACACTAAAGCAACTTATCTTTGACAAAGGAGCTAAAAAATATACGATGGAGAAATAGCAGCGCTCTCAACAAAACGCTGGAAGAAAAGACGTAGCAGTCTGCAAAAACTGAAACTAGATCCATGTATATCACCCGATACCAAGATTAAACTCAAATGGATCAAGGATCTTAATATCAGACCCCAAACTCTTAAGTTGATACAAAAAGAGTAGGAAATACTCTGGATTAGTAGTATAGGTAAGAACTTTCTCAATGAAACCCCAGCAGCACAGCAACTAAGAGATAGCATAGAGAATAAATGGGACCTCATAAAACTAAAAAAGCTTCTGTTCATCAAAGAAAGGTCTCTAATACTGAAAGAGAACACCCACAGAGGGAGAAAAATTTGCCAACTATACACATCAGACAAAGGACTGATAACCAGAATATACAGGGAACTTAAAAAACTAAATTCTCCCAAAAAATGAACCAATAAAAATGGGCAGGTGACTAAAACAGAACTTTCTCAAAAGAGAAATTCAAATGGCCAGAAAACACATGAAAAAATGCTCACCATCTCTAGCAATAAAGGAAATGCAAATTAAAAACCACACTAAGATTCCACCGTCACCCCTGGTTAGAATAGCCATTCACAGCAACACCACAACAACAGGTGTTGGCGAGGATGCGGGAAAAAAGGACCCTCTTACACTGCTGGTGGGAATGTAGACTAGTACAACCACTCTGGAAAAAAAATTTGGAGCTACTTAAAAAGCTGGACATCGATCTAACCATTTGATCCAGCAATACCACTCGTTGGATATACCCAAAGACTGTTACTAACCAGAGGCACTGCACATCCATGTTTATTGCGGCACTATTCACAATAGCCAAGTTATGGAAACAGCCAAGATGCCCCAGCACTGACAATGGATTAAGAAATGTGGTATCTATACACAATGGAATTTTATCAGCCATGAAGAAGAACGAAATGTTATCATTCGCTGGTAAATGGATGGAATTGGAGAACATCATTCTGAGTGAGGTTAGCCTGGCTCAAAAGACCCAAAAATCGTATGTTCTCCCTCATGATTGGACATTAGATCAAGGGCAAACACAACAATGGGATTGGACTATGAGCACATGATAAAAGCGAGAGCAACACAAGGAGGCGGTGAGGATAGGTAAGACACCTAAAAACAGCTAGCATTTGTTGCCCTTAATGCAGAGAACTAAAGCAGATACCTTAAAGCAACTGAGGCCAATAGGAAAAGGAGACCAGGAACTAGAGAAAAGGTTGGATGAAAAAGAATTAACCCTAGAAGGTAAACACCCACGCACAGGAAATTCAATGTGAGTCAATGCCCTTATATCCTTATCTCAACCAGCAAAACCACCTTGTGCTTCCTATATTGCTATACTCTCTCTACAACAAAATTAGAGATAAGGGCAAAATAGTTTCTGCTGGGTATTGAGGGGGGAGCGGAGGAGGTGGAGTGGGTGGTAAGGGAGGGGGTGGGGGGGGGGAGAAATAAACCAAGCCTTGTATGCACATATGAATAAATAAAAGAAAAATGAAAAAAAAAAATATTGACTCATTTTAGTATTAGGCCTGTTCAAAAAAAGCGAGAAATTAGAGAAGATATTCTAAAAAAAGTATTTGTGAAGTTGGCAAATTTTAATCTTGCAATAAAAAGTCAAATATTTTAATGCATATTTTAAGTATTAAATGGGGAAACTGACGAAATCAAAAATCATTTTAGGATAATATGCAAAATATTTTTGCGGTTACTATATATCTCAATGGAAAATCTACTTGGGATATATAAAGTTTTGAAGTAAGAATAAAATAAGATAGTCCAGTTCTTTGTAAAGATCTATATGAGGATAGAAGTGTACATAACAGATTAAACTGCCTTTGGCTCTTTAAAAGAACAGTTGAAGCTAAAAGGAAAAGGGACAGAAATTAGGAACTTCACTAGAAAAAGATAATATGGGCATTGGGATAGTCCGGCATGCATAAAGTTGCTGATTCTTGTTTTAACTTGACAACATGAAAACGGAAACAATTAACTTGCTTTTGGTTTTTTTACATTAAAGCTGAACAGAACATAAACATACAACAATGAAAACAAATAATAGTCTCTCTTTAAACTGTTTACAAATAGCTAGGCGATAGAATATACGTCTTGTAACAATTTTACTACATATGTCCTTCCTCACTAAAAACCTGTGAGATAAAACATTATCTAGTCCCATTTGCAGACAGTAAATCTCATCCCTTACGAAGATAAATAAGTTAAACCAAGGACATAATGACTATATGTGAATATGGAACTGGGAATTTTAAACCATATTTTAACTGATTATAAACGACTGAATCATGCTAAAGTCATATTTAAAATAGGCAACATTGAAAGAGAAATATCTAGAAAAGTTCAAAGGCACACAGAGAGTTTTACAGCTGTATCCCATAAACTAGTCTCTAGATTTGGCTTACAAAGCAAAAAGAAATATTTTTAGGTTTAACAAGGTGACAAGTTTTGAGGAGAGAAAGCTGAGAAGAAAAAGAGGTTTCAAATAATCAAAGCTATAAGTGGTGGCCCAGAGACCATGGAAGTCTAGATCCAAAACCTTTGAAGGTTATAGAGATTCTATAGACTAATGAGCTAAGCAACATTTTGGTATAAGCAAATCGTTAAGAGTAGATTTCTTATAAGCTGAACCAGTTACCATGTGCCTGAGTATACTTGAGATCTCAATATCATAACTCAATAGATTCTTCTTTGTAGTATATATAGGTTGTGAATAAATATAACAACCTTGACCATTTATTAGTGCCAGATATTGTCATAATGTGCTCCACATTTGATTGCAAAAACACTCTACAAGGTAGGTACTTGTGGAATTCCTTTCTTAAGGAATAAGTTGTGATTGGTGTCAGAGCTCACACTCCTTACCATTGTATTGTGCTGATGTAGGTTAGTAACTACAATAATTAAGTAGTATTTTATTCATAGTACTTGTTATTTAATACATGCTTTATTTTTGTAAAATGGTTTGTCTGAAATTGTCACTTAGTAAATATTTAGAGATCCATAGTATTACAATAATGTCACTCCTTGACAATAAACTGAGGATAACATTATTTCAATTTCTTAAGAGAATGTGGTAAGTTATGACTCTGTCTAAGGATCTATTTCTATAGGCCTAAAAATCTGTTATTCAGTCATATGTAAATAAAGACAAAGTTTAGGTATTGCAAGGTAGTTGCTGAATTGAGTTATTTGTGTTTTAAGCCATCAGATGATAGATTATGTACAGAAATTTTCCTTTTTTGGTTTTTTGGTGCTGGGGATCAAACCCAGGGCTCTCCTGTATGGAAGTTTTGAAACACAGTAGAGTGAAAAGGCAATTGTTTTGTTTTTGTTTCTGGTTTATGTTTACTGAAAATGCTCCAAAGTGATTAATGAGGTTGGTGAAGTTATACTATGTGATGCATAAAAGGATGGCACTGTGCATTAGTACTCATGACACAAGTTAATTGCTTATGAAATGGGATGTGTACTTGGAAAACTGATGTGATTGAAACATTATACCAATAACTCAGAAAATTATATTTGGTGAATAATTTGATTTAGATTAATAAACCTAAAATATAGTCAGATTCTATAATCAAGTAAAAACATCAAGCACTTTAAGATCTTTAATGTTTGGGAAATATGTTTAAATTAGACATATTAAAATTAGTGTCTTACAAAGAAAATTAAAATTGATCACAGTGAACTTGCATGTGTGAATGGATTTAAATGCATATAATGTAATAAAGTTCCACTTAAGTGAAAAGTAAAGGTCAGAGAATCTCCTTTTGTTTGCATTTATTTGGAAAGCTCTATCCAGAGCACTGAATTTTTATTAAACATAGCTGTAATATCAAAGAGTAATAAAACTTTTTCAAGAGTATCTGAATATTATTGTGAAGTGTAAATTTATGTGTTGACTTGTCAGTTTCACTATACATTGAGGTAAATTAACAAAATACGATCTGAAATATCTTTTATATTAATGTGCAATAACATTTTAGGAGCTATTTCAAATTTTCTAGAATAGAAACTAAATGAACTTTGAAAAAAATTTGTTCATTTCTGTGAGACACTACCAGATATATTTTTAAAATATTTACATTTTGTGGAGTTTGTAACTGCAATGTAGTTTTTGTTAAAGCAGTTATAACACACAGAGAATATGTGTATTTGTGCACTATCCCTAAATTAAAGGTAAGAGGATAATAGATATGTGTGACTGGTTTATGAATATATAGTTATTATTAGTATACATATTCAAACTCTCATCTCTCCAATGGAAATAGGGTTTAAAAGCATGTCGTTGACATTACACTATCTAAAATTCTGCTATATTTGAAATTTTTTCCTTAAAAATAACTTTACCAAAAAAAAACAAAAAAAAAACTTTACCTATGACGTCTACTAATGATAAAAGGCTAAAATGTACTACTTGAATATATAAATCTAACTTTTAAACATTGGTCTAAACAATTCTTTTAGAAACAAATGATCAAAGAATTCAATACGATCCACAGGATGGGGGGGAGTGACAGACATTGAATCTGAGAATATAATTAAATAAAAACTGATTCTGTTAATTTTTGAAATAATTTAATTTCGCTTATATCAAAGAAGACATTTAAAGAAAGAAAGTAAGTCAGATACACATTTTGGGGCAGCTCTGGTTGCTGGCATCCTACCCCCTATCTGTAAAAGAATGCTTGTTGGCATTTGGTTCCATCAATTCATTTGTGATTTCTAAATTAATTCTGAAGGAAACCACAACTTACTTGAAGATCCCGCTGAGTGTCTGTGTGCCTGACTTTTTTTTTCTTTTTTCACAGACAAAGCACTTCCACTGGTCATGGAAAAAAGGTCCAAATCCGTGTCTTCTCTGCTTACAAGTCTTGCCTGGGAGCAATGGGAGAGAATGTATACAATCATGAAACAAAATATGGCATTTTCTGAATGCAGCTCACATTACCCCAAATAAACAAACAGGCTCTGTCAAACAACCTTCTTCAAAATGATACCACAATCCTTTATTGCTGCCCAGGCAGAACAAATGCACTATGTCAAAGCATTTTTTGCAAATAAGAGCCGATTTTAAAATTGAGGTTTGCTATTTGAGTCTGTACAACAAAAGAAACATTTTAGTACAGTAATTTTGATGAAAATCAATCTTAAAAGCAGCTGGTGAAACTTTAAGCAGCTTAACATCACTTACTTACCAAGTATATTATTTAATTCTTAATTGAATGTTAAAAATGTCATATTAGATTTTCTGTAATATTTATATTTATCACTTGTAAGTAATACTCTTATTATCAAATGCCTTGAAATAAATGTTTTTCATTATTCATTTGTGCAATATAAAGCCACAGATGATCTCCACCCTTTCATTACAACCATTGTCAATATAAAAATATTACACTTTAAATCTAATTTTGGGGTAATGTTAAATACATAGAAATTTCAAGATACATTATTTTAAGGACATGGATTAGATAATTCTTTTCACCTAAAATTATGCTTGTACTTTTATCACTACCTTAGACTGAACTTGAGAGACACAGAATCACTTCTTACCTATACAATCTTGTTTTATAGAATGTCTAATACCATTAAGTAAGGATCTATCAAAATTCAGCTCTGAAGTGGGGGGAAAATGACATTATGGAAAGCAAAGCAGCATCTCAGTGGCTGGGATGTAATCCAAACCACAGTATGCTTGAAATCCTGTGAAAAAGTATTGCCCTAAACGCTTGATGTGAGGAAAACTTAAATACAGCAAAATAAAGACATGAAACCACTACTGTAGTTCAAAAGCTATCTACATGTGATAAGTTCCAAAGACTCAAGGAGCCAGAATGTAAAAAGTATCCATCTTCTGTGTTTCAAATTCAGGTATTTTCCCTTCTTCTTCACCTTCCTCCTTCTACCCTCTTCCCACTTTCCTACACATGAATGAATAAAGAAGTGAATTTGTATTTTCACCAATTTATTTATTTATAACTGACAAAATTTGTGTACATTTACTACATTACGATGTTTTGAAATATGTATGTGCTGTGAAATAATCAAATTGAGCTAATATATGAATTATCTCACATACTTAGTAAGTGTTGTTATTTTGTGAATTCAAAACAGAAACCATTCCATGTCAATTATTTCTTTGATGATTATGCTAGTAAAGAACACTACTAGAAAACTCTTAAAAACAGGATTTCAGTTTGCACTTATGATTTCTATGAAAAATATGATGGATTGTTCTGAAATTTATTTTAGTTAATACACTAAAGTACATGTATAACACAACTTCTGGGATGGCTCCATCAATGCGAAGATTTAAAAAATAATCAGTCAAGAATCAAGAAGAAATACCAAAGTGATACCACAATTTAGGTGAAACTCAATAGATAATAAGGAAAAATGTGTTAACCAGATAGCGAACTCTATGCTCACTAGTGAGGATTTAACTATAATCTTTAATACTTAGAAATGAAATTTATTTCAATTTGATAATACAATTTTAGTGCAAATATTTAGAAAGTAGATCCCTCAAATACATGTCAAGAAAATATTTGTGAACAAATGTCTTCCAAAAATCTCACAATCACCTAAGTCATAAATATCTAAAAGACTATTCCTGCTAAATAGAAAATAATTGATGTCAGTTACTAATTAGGTCAGATTACAGAGTGTGTTAGTCAGACTTTTTATCACTGTGACTAATGCCTGAAAGAATAAGTTAAAAGTTGGAAAGATTTATTTTGGCTCACCGTTTTGGAGGTTTTAGTCCATTGTTGGCTTGCTCTACTGCTGTGGGCCTGTGGTGAGACAGAACATCATGGCAGCAAACGTGTATGGAGGAGCAAAGTGGCTCGCATCATGGTGGCCAAGAAACAGAGTGAGAGACAGAGGAAGGGCTCAGGGACATGGTAGGTGCTACCAGGGCAGATCCCCAGTCCTTCAATTTCCCCCAACTTAGCACTACCTCTTCTTCTCCACTTCCCACTAATTCTCAATATTATATATCCATTAAAGGATTAATCCATAAATTAAGTCAGAGCTCTTAGGAATCCAATCACTTCCCGAAAGCTCATCAGCAGGAAATCATACACAGGAGGCTTCTGGAGACATCTCAGATTCAATCTATAACATTAAGGGAGTAAATCTGGAAGTGAAATTTGTTAGGAACACATGATTTCACTGTGGTGCCACCTTGCTTGTTAAATGCAAACCTAGAAATTTCATAAATGGGTTAGCTACCTGCCCATCTGGTAGAGCCCATATTCATTAATACTCAGGTTCTATTCTGGAAACATTGGCTTTCAAACTATCTTCATTCCCCTCTTATTGCTAACTAATAGAGAAATCAAAAAGAGAATATATCTTTTCTTTTATATCATTGTTATGATTTGTAAATGAAGTATCTCCCCCATAAAGCTCTAGTGTGGAAGATTTGGTCCCCAGTTGGTGGATCTAATTATTGAGAAGTGTCTGGATCAAGAAGACACTGACCTAATCAATAGATTAATCCATTGATGGATTTGTAAAGTCATGGTATTACTGGGAAGTGGTGGAAACTTTTAGAGGTAACATCAACTTCAATGAAGTAGACCAATAAGGACATGTTCTTGGGTTGTAGTTTTCCTGGGCCCTTTCCTCTGTCTCTCTGTTTTCTGGCTGCCATGAGGAAGATTTTCTTTGTCATAAGGTACTGCCTCATCATACGTGCAGAAGCATGGAACCAAAGAACCATGGGCTGAAATTTCTGAAACAAATAAATGTTTCCTACTATATATTGTTTCTCTCAGGTGCTTGTTACAATAACAAAAAGTTGAGAACACAATCATACAAAATGAATCAGTATTCAGGAAACCCATAGATACTGAGATTGTTCAAATTCTTTATGTAAAATAGCAATGTAATATAAAATGGCAAGAATGTAAAATTCTTTATGTAGAATTTCCATGTAATCTAGGTAATCCTCTCTGATATATTAAATCATCTCTAGATTACTTGTAATAGCTAATAAAGTGTAAATGCTATGTAAATAGCTGTTTTATTTATTATGCAGGGGATAATGATGAGAAAAAAGTCTGTACGTGTTTAGTACAGATACATTTTATCCAAGTATTTTCTTTTTCTTTCTTTCTTTGAGGGTACTGGGGATTGAATTCAGGATGTCCAACTTGCACCACTTCAGCCATGATCTCATTTCTTTTGTTAAATTTATTTTTATTATTATTGTATTGGGGGTACATTGTGACATTTATAAAGTTCCTTGTATCATAATTGAATTCACCCCTTCATCATTCTCCTTTATTACTCCTTTTCCCTTCCAGGACAAGTTTCAACAGGGCACATTTTTTCCATTTACATACATGTGTACATAATATGTCCACCATATTCACCCTCCTACACCCTTTCCTCATATTCTCCCCCCTCCCACTGGTATCTGTACTCCCAGACAGAAACTGTTATGCCTTCTTGTTCTCTGTTTTTGTAAAAAAAAAAAAAAGACATCTTTATTTGTTTAAGATAGCTACACAGGGATTTTCCTTGTGACATTTTCTTGTACACATGCATTATAACCCTGAATTGGTTCATCCCTCTATTTTTCTCTTTTCTATCTTAGTCCTTTGCTTACGGTGGTTTCAACAGGTTAAAAATTTTTCATTCTTATATAGGAAGTGCATCAACCATAGTCACCTTTTTTTACTTCCTTCTTTTGACCCTATTTCTTTTGCTTTTAGTTCTGTTTTTCAGATAGAATTTCATGCTTTTGCCTGGGTTGGCCCTTGGACCAGGATGCTACCGGACCAGAATGCTACTCCATCTACCTCCGGAGTAGCTGATGCTAAAATCACGTTACCACACCCAGAGTTTTTTTGGGTATTTTCATTTACATTTGGTTGAGTTAGTGTTTAAGGACCTGTGAATGAAAAAGGGCAACTGTGCTTAAAAACTGAAAATAACTGACCATACGTTAAACATTTATTCTACAAAAATGTATGTTGAATTGTAATACACTCTGATATTAGATATTTTTATGGATTTAAATGTTTTTATGGCTATAATGCAATAAACGGATTCAAGTTAATTCAGATAAAAATATTCTAATATATAATTCAATAGTAAATATTTATTTAAACAGTAACTTTGCAAAGTTCTTCTAAACCTTTGTTTTCTGAACACATGTCCTCTATGGTCCAAGTACAAGGTTTTACATTGCCCCTCTATTATTCACAATGGAATAATGGATATGAGTTTTGGGACAGAATTTCCAAACATTCAGATTCTTATTTACCTCTACTCTTGGCAGTTAATTTAAAGTAAGTTTCTTTTTTGTTTAACAAAGAACAGGAGTTCCTCCTTCTTTCTTTTAATTCATAAGATTCTATTAAATATTTAATGGTTTTGTACATTTGGAAGTGAAGACATATTATATAGCATAGTTTAATAAACAAATACCTATGGCTTAAATATGCACATTATTTCTAAAAAAGAGAAATCAAATATTATAAAGATGAAGTCTTTTTATAAGCTACCTTGTAGTTCACACATATCTATTAATAGTTTATTTTTGAATAGTAATGTTCCTCATAATAATGTCTCAGTCAACAATAGGATATATTATCTAACTGGGGTCCTGTAAGATTATAATGGTGATGAAAAATTCCTATTATCTAGGGTCATCATAGCCAGTGGAACTTCCCAGTGCAATGCATTACTCATTTGTTTGTGGTGATGTTAGTGTAAGAAAACCTATTGTGCAGCCAATCATCTATAAGGATAGCAATACAATTATGTACAGTACAAAAAACTTGATAAGGGTAATAAAGACTATGAGATTTATGGGTTTATATACCTATAAACTGTATGTTTTATCATTATTTTAGTGT